TGTGAAGAAGGCAACATGCTGGTGTAAGAGGTAAAGTAGTCTCTTGTGCATCAGGGTCCCTTTCCCATGTCCACATCTCCAACAAAGCTCAGATGCATGTGGATACCAACTATGAATCTTAGCTGGGGTTGCATACCATCTTATAGGAAGCTTATATGAAGGTTCTTGGGTGCGAGTGCACAGTGAACTTTTATGTGCAAAAACACTTGTCTTTTGCCATGTTTCATTAGAAATTTCCATGTGTAGATGGCATTCCCATTGTGATCTTATCTTTTCCATCCCCTGAAAATGTCTTAGTTTGTGACAGGAATACACCATGGAGGTGACCTTTTTGAGTTCCTTACCTCTCCAGCAAAAGTTCTCAAATGGTGTAAGCAAGTAGGAGAATGATTTCTTATGGCCGGTATTTACTAGGTAATTCCGTATCTGAAGGAACAGTTAAAAGGGTACCCTCACTTCTCTAAGGACTGATTGTATTTCAGTTTAGGATTTCAAAATACCAGAATGAAAACAATTTTTTACTATCAAAGGTGATTTGTCATCCTTACACAATATAGGTCTTAAGGAAATCCCAGGTTGAATTCTGGTTTCAAGGCAAGAGGGGACTAGGTGAAGAAGAAAGGTAGGGTAATGCTATTCCGTGAAAAGCTTCCAAAGTTGCTCCAGTTGTTGGATGTTTTCTTAATTTCCGCTGAAGATCTAGCATTACTGTAGGTATCCAGGGTGAATATTTCAATGATATAGGAGTGAAAGTATGCTCTAGCGCCACCCAATCAATGACAATTCCAGTCTGTGATCCAAGTCCTATGCCTCCTATAACTTTTGCACTAGTTAAAAGATAAAATTTAAGTCTAGATTTCTTGCTTGCCCAAACAAAATTAATTTGTAAGGATTGTATGCGCTTGAAAAAAGATGTCAGAAGTCTGATAGGAAGAGCATACATAAAATATAATATCTGGGGAGAACCATCATTTTAATAATGGCTGCCCTACCGAACCAGAAAACTTCCTAACATTCCAATTATGGAGGTCATTTTCCATGATTCTCAAAAGGGGCAAAAATTACTAGCGAATAGTTTATTTGAGTCTTGAGTAAGCCATATGCCAAGATATTTCAGTGTGTCAGATTTCCATTTAAAAGGGCAAATCTATTTAAGATGATGCAACTTATTTGGGTTCATAGTAAGATTCAGTGCTTCTGAATTACTGTAATTTATTTTCAAGTTGGACAAATAGCCAAATTGGGAAAAGTCAGTCAGCAAGTTTGGGATAGTAGTAATTAGTTCTGTCAAAAAACAGTAGATCATACCACATACCACAAAAAGAACAGATCACATAAGCGGCTAATTTGTATTTCTTGTCACAAATTGTGAAGCCTTTCACTGAATTATTGTGAGTAACTGTCCGTATAAACAGTACTAATTTCAAGATGAACAGTAAGGATGACAAGGGACACCCTTGTCTGGTACCATTATGAAAGTGAAGTGGGTCAGAGAGGGTACCATTAACTTTGATTTGAGCTGTGAGATTAGTATAAAGGGAGGAAATCCACGCCATCATTTTAGGTTGTAGACCAATATGCTTGCAAACTGCTAGCATGTAGTCCCAGGCTACTCTATCGAAGGCCTTTTCCACTTCAGTACAGAGGAGAAGGCCCTCAAATGAGCCTTGAGCAGTCTTGTGAATTAAGTTAAGAGCTTTAATTACGTTGTCCCTTGCCTCCCTTCCAGGCATGAATCCCACTTGTTCCAGGCCTAATATACGAGGAAGGAAAGGAATTTGCTAAAATTTTGGCCAATTTCATATCAATATGAAGCAATGATATGTCTATAACGTGTGCAGTACGAGTGGTCCTTATGGGGCTTAGGCAGAGCAGTAATATGAGCCAATAAAAAAAATGGCCCTTTTCATTTAATGAGTTTAGGGCTTGAAAACAATGTAGAAACAGCAAAGCAGTGAAGGATTTGTTGTAATGGGCCATAAACCCATCGGGGCCTGGATGTTTCCCAGATTTTAAAGATTTGATCGCCATATCAATAATAGTCACCCTTTTACTCTGAAGTGAGGCAGGTTTATGCTGTGATGGGAGATTGTACAAGTTGGAATATAAATGGTGAAACAGCTATTTTGTCTGTGGCATATTCTAACAGAGGAGAAGGCCCTCAAATGAGCCTTGGGCAGTCTTGTGAATTAAGTTAAGAGCTTTGATTACGTGCTTTGAGGCCCTTGCCTCTCTTCCAGGCCTGAATCCCACTTGTTTCAGATGTTAAAGATTTGATCGCCAACCAGAGCTCCTCCATATCAATAGGACTTTCTAGGTCAGTGGTGGCGAACCTATAGCACAGCGAGCATGCAGAGCCCTCTCTGGTGGCACGCTAGCCAAGTCACCCCAGCATCGCTCCAACAACCAAGCATCGAATAGCGGAGCACATAGGGTCCAATGTGTATGCTTGGAACGTAGTAGCAGCGCCAGGAGATGACATCAAGAGTTGCAAGTCATTATTCCTAATACCATTCAGGTAAATCCCTACAGGGCAATTGCAGGGTATCACAGAATGTAGGCAGGTCCACTGGTGTGCATAAATAATGCAGTTTCCCTTTAAAGATTGCACATAGAGTGAAGGGCAGCACAGTGGCTAAATGGTTAGCACTTCTGCCTGGCAGTACTAGGGTCATTGGTTTGAATCCCAACCATGGCATTACCTTCCTGCAGTTTGCATGTTCTCCTGCTTGGGTTTCCTGAGGGTACTATGGTTTCCTCCCACACTCCAAAGACATGCTGGCAGGTTAATTGTATCCTGTCTAAATTGGCCCTAGTATGTGTATGTATGAATGTAAGTTAGGCATCCTAGATTGTATGCCCCTTGAGGGTTAGGGACTGATGTGAATGTACAATAAATGTAAAGTGCTGCGAAAAATTGATGGCGCTGTATAAGTACCTTAAGTGATATGTAATACCTTTGTCTCTCAGGATCTCTAAAAGAGAGCACAAAGCTGCGGGCAACAATTTTAATTATACTTAAAGGTAAACATTAAAAATAAATAAGTAAATTAATTAATTAAATAAAAATTACAAAATTCCTTTAAATAACATGTCTGTGAAGTGGCTCATAAGTGCAATGCATACAACCTACTACAGCAAAAAACAGTGAAAGAGGTTGAATAAATAAAGCTGAATGGCACCACTTATTGCTAAGAACACTTTATTAGCAACCATTGACAGGAAGGACGCTGTTTGTCAAATATATATATAGTAGCAGTAGAAATATCACTACTATATTGTATATGACATTCAGCTTCCTTTGAATAAGCAAAAAAATGCTGAGTTTGAACGAACCTGTGTTTGGACCGAACCCTGAACTCATCCCTAGTTGCTATAATGTTTCCTTATAAATTTACCATGCTAAAATCAAAGCACAATAAGGCTCAAAGGTTTTATCTTTTAATAGTCTCTGTGTTTTAAGCCTAAACTGTGATATAGATGGACTGTAGATGAGTGGTATCAGTTCCCCTTATGGTGGGTTGTTTTTTTTTTCTGTACCATAATTCTATTTATATCTGTTGGCATCAGGGGCAGACTGACCATTTGGAAACTTGGGCACTGCCTGAGGGCCTGGGGTCAGTAGGGGGCCCATGAGATGCCCCTGGTACCTTTTTCATAGGCTTTTTTGAGTTTGGGCAAGGACACAGGGGCCCCAAGATCCCCTATTGTCCGGGGGCCCCATGAGTTGTCAGTCCGCCCCTGGTTGGTATGGTAAAGATGTGACCTGTGGCTCCTGATCACTGTATGAGATCCTTTTTCATAAGGCCTCGTTGACACCATATGTGCAGAAAAACTGTTGGAAACTGAAAAGCAGATTTCATTTGCAGAGATATCAGTTTACATCAGTTTTCATGCATGTGTCAAGGAGTTTTATACATGCTGCAGGTTCCTGCGCAGAAAAAAAAATCTGTATGTGATACTAGTGTTGTGGTGTGAACAGGACACATAGAGAACTGATGTCATTGTGCCCTTGCAGAACATGTGCAGAAAAACTGACGTCTCTGCACCATGGTGTAAACAAGCCCTAATAGGTCAGATTGTTTTTGTAGTGGTCACTGGTCACATTCTTCCTTTATGGTTTAAACAGTAGACACAATGTAACATTTGTATTATAACCACTTGTGGACAACCCACCTGCAATGAACTGCAGATGAGCGGCCTGCACAGGCAGGGATGTAATCGTACATCACTGCCTGTTTCTGGGTTTGAGGGCAAACATGCATGCCTCCAGCTGGCACCCACTGTGATTGTATGTAGCGAGAACCTGTCAGCAAGTCCAGGCTACAATCACAGCCCAGAGCTCTGTGTTGATAATCAACACAGAGCTCTGTACAGAGGGAATGATCTCTGTTTCTCATCCCTACAAAGATCTATTAGTAAACAGAAGGAACATTTAGACATAGTAAACATAGTTATGCACACATTTAATACCTTGATCTCCCTAGATGTTAACCCCTTCCCAGCTAGTGTAATTAGTACAGTAACATTGTATAGTATTATCATTGATAACTGTAATAATATCACTGGTGATGTCAGTGGCAATTAGTCAGTTCCCCTCAGCATCAGTTTGTGTCAGAGTGCTCTCTGCACTATTGCAGTCCCATTATAAGTTACTGATCACTGCCATTAGTAGTATTAAAAAAAAAATTCCAGTATATTTATACACCATAGTTTGTAGATGCTACAACTTTCACGTATACAAAACAATATACACTTATTGGGAATTTTTTCTATCAAAGACATACAGCAGAATACATTTTGGTCAAAATTTATGAAGAAATTTGATTTTACATTTTTTTGATTGGATAGATTTTGTAGCAGAAAGTAAAAAATATTGTTTTTTTTTTTTCAAAATGGTTGGCCTTCTTTTGTTTATAGTGTAAAAAAAAATAACCCAGTGGTGATTACTATATTTTTCACTCCATAAGATGCACCTGACCATAAGACGCACCTAGATTTTAGAGTAGGAAAACAAGAAAAAAAATATTCTGAACCAATGGACTGCAGACATAGTACAGGAGATTACCAGAGACTGCAGACACAGTACAGGAGATGACCAGAGACTGCGGACACGTTACAGGGGATGACCAGAGACTCTGGACATAGTACAGTAGATGACCAGAGACTGCGGACACAGTACAGGAGATGACCAGAGACTGTGGGCACAGTACAGGAGATGACCAGAGACTGCGGACACGTTACAGGGGATGACCAGAGACTGTGGACATAGTACAGGAGATGACCGGAGACTGCAGACATAGTACAGGAGATGACCAGAGACTGTGGACATAGTACAGGAGAGGACCAGAGACTGTGGACACAGTACAGGAGATGACCAGAGACTGTGGGCACAGTACAGGAGATGACCAAAGACTGCAGACACAGTACAGGAGATGACTGGAGACTGAAGACATAGTACAGGAGATGACCAGAGACTGCAGACATAGTACAGGAGATGACCAGAGACTGCAAACATAGTACAGGGGATGACCAGAGAATGCAGACACAGTATGGGAGATGACCGGAGACTGCGGACACAGTACAGGAGATGACCAGACACTACAGACCTTTGAGGAGGGTACCTAAATTTAACAGGCACCCTCTCCCGTTTCCGCGGAGTTGTCCTCCCTCTCTGTCTACTGGGACACGTGACAGGTCCCAGAAGACTGCCGGACCATTCACAAAGCGCAGCGCTTCTTGCACATGCGCAGTGGGCACCCAACTGTCACAGCCGGGTGCCCACACTAATGATGCTAACGCTGGGAGAGAAGACCGTACAGCACTGGACCGAGGAACAGGCAAGGCTCTGCTGCAGAGAAGAGCCGAGCGGCCGGCCAGGTATTCTGACATGGCATCTGCGGGAATAAAGGGATCGGCCGCTCCATATATTCTCAAAGACATTTTCCCCCTTTTTTGGGGGGGAAAAGTGCATCTTATGGAGTGAAAAATATGGTAAATACCACTAAAAGAAAGCTCTGTATGTGCACATGTGTTTTAGATGTGTTTTTGCTGCGTTTTTGATATGCAGATTTAAAACACATCAAAAACATGGCAAAAATGTATAAAAAAGAAGCAAAAATACTCTACATGCTTTTTTGCAGTGTTTCCATTCACGTCTTTAGAACCAAAAATGCAACTCTTTGCATTTAGAAAGTCCCTTTCCAAAAAACACACCGGATGAAAATGCGGAGATGTGAACGTGTCCCATGGGAGATCATATTAAATGGACTGTAGTGTGATTCTGCAAAATGCAAAACACTGTAGAAAATGCTTAGGTGTAAACCTATGGTAATTTACTTGATGCTATACTCTGATTAAAAAGATGTTCCTTTAATTTTTTTGAGCAGTGTAGTTCCAGAGTTGGCTTGCCTGGCTGCTGCAACAGACTTTTGTTTGTAACTTGCAGCATGACTATGGACATCACAAACACCACCATGTGCTATGCAGAACATTTTTTTACTCCACAAGACACTTTGCATTTTGTTTTAAATCATCTGCTAATTACCAGTATTTGAACTGCAGATATGTTAGCCATGAGCCTGAGAAGGAGCAATGGCTTAGTTTCATTGGTTTCTTGACAGGATGTCCAGGCATTTCCTTTTCCATTTGTAAAATGCAACTGCACAGACTGTAACCTAAAACACACACCCTGAACTGTTCTGTTACCAACAGCAGCTGTTAAATGTGTCAAACTTTAAACTGAAATCAAATAGCCCTTTAAAATCTTGTCACAATTTTCTTGGAAAACTATTGCCAAATCAGCCCAGAATGAGCCCTTTTAAATTTCAGTAACTGACACTGACTGTATAACCTAACCTACTACTGCCTTGTATGCTGCAGTTGCCTGTATGTAAAGCTTAAGTCAGGAAAGCAATAGTTGTTAATGAAAACCGATCTTTTGGAAGTTTGTGAAAACATTTTAAAAAAAACATACGTAGTAGTTGCAACTACAGATCCATCACGTGTGCAGATTGGTTGGGAGTCTTGGAAGGTGTCTAAAAAAAGGAAACAAAAAATCATGTAGTTTGTCTGTGTTGCCCAGTTGCCTTATACAATAGGCTGCAAGGACAGAAAGTGTTTGGCATATTGGTGTGAAAGATAGACATACAAAAAACATTGGCTTCCAAAAAAAGACATACTTACCAGAGGATATAGCTCCAATAAAATGGATCTGGACAGACTGGAGGCAGTGCTAGTGGCTGGTCAATAGCAGTGGCATCAGTCCAGCAGAACCTAACAGCACAAAGAAGGAGAAGGAGAAAAGAAAATTGAGACTTTAGCAAATAATGTTTTAAGAAAGCAAATCACAACAAATTCTCTATTTGCTTACTGTATGAAGCCAAAGGGAATGCTTCTGGACAGAATGAGGAGCAGGCAGGCAGATGATACTTGTAGTAGGCAGACAGCAGACCTTGTGTTTGTTGCAATTGACTTGATGGAGGGAGGGCTGTGGGCAGCAAGCAAGGCGTTGGTGGTAATGGTGGTGGAACAGGCTGAGGTTGGTCACCTGGGGGTCCAGGCAGAAGAGAACAATCTAAAGCACAAAGAGGGAGAGAAGGAGAACACCATGAGACTCAGTAGAGCAGATCATTTTTGAAAAAGCACACTACAGCAAATTGTGTGCTTGTTTACCATGATATGATACCAAGGGAATACTTCTCAGAAGGACTTGCAGCAGGCAGGCTGGCGGTATTTCTGCTTGTAGGCTGACAGCTGATCTTGTGTTTGGTGCAATTCACTTGATCCAAGGAATACAGCAGGCAGCAGGGAAGAGTGTTGGCAGCAGTGGTGGCATTGTGGCATAGGCCGGTTAAAACAGGCAGGATTGGGATATCCAACCTAACAGCACAAAGAGAAAGGGAGGGTGAAGGAGAAAGAATAAACGTGATAGTGTCCAGAAACTGCTGGTGGGCAATGGGAATTGTGGGCAGAGGTGGTTTGGTCACTATTGGTCATTTGCAATTTTGTATTAAAATTCACCGTTTTGCACTCACAACACTGTAGTTTGCACTTGCCATTTGCAATTATGCCTTACTTTAAATTCACCATTTTTGACTCACACACAGTCATCAGCACTTTGCACACATCCATATGAATTACCATTTCCATTAGTTTGCAACCAATACATCAGGGCCTGGTGGTGGCAATGGTCCTGGCATTTGAACTTTTTGAAGTTGCACTGCCTTGAACACGATTAGTCTCACAAATTCCAATTTTGAAGAACTATCCTGGCCATGCCCTAACTTTGCTAACTCTGAATAAAACTGCCACATTCTAAACCTCCCTCTCCACTGTAAAAAAAAACTCTCCACTGTAAAAAAAACCCATTTAAAAAAAAAAAAAATTTTCTATTGACCCACGCCCTGCCTCCAATCTCACCTAGACCTTTCAGGATACCATTGTCACATATTCCAGGAGACATTACTTTCCACCATTCATAGAGTTACATGTAAACAATCACAGTGCCATTTCTTACACACGTGCAGATATCTTGTATTGTATCTGTGTATGTGTTGTTCTGAATAATGGAAAGTAATGCTTTCTGGGATTTGCAACATCCATTATCCAGGAGATATTATTTTCTGCCATTTATAGAACAACATGTTGAAACATCTGGTACCACATAATTTGTGATCTGACCACAAGAACCAAGAACAGATAGCTGGCTCTGCATAATGTAAAAAGGAAGATGATGGAGTGGGATGGGACCTGTAGTAGGTGAGCGGTGTGAGAGAAGAGGACAAAGTTGAACCCGCTGGACTTGTAATAATATGATTAAACCATAAGACCAGAAGCAAAGATAAAGGAGAAAAGAAAGACATTTTCAATGAGAGGGAGAAGTTTCATTTTAATAATTGGCATTAGTGATCTGTAGCAGGAATTACGTACATGAATTCCAGTGTGACATTACATTCTACAAAAAATCTCATGACACCAACCACTGTTCGACTGCACTACAAATTGTTGAAGTATTTGTGAGTTAGTGATTCCATTGAAAATACTCATGAATTCCTTACTGCAAAACTGCTTAAAAAAGAGGATTGCTACGAATAAATCATCCATCTGGCCTTAAAAGTGGTACTCTAAAGCTGAAACCTCTGTGTAAAGAGTGGAAAGGACTTAAATTTGCCTGATCTTTTCAGCATTACCTAACACATTACTAAATCGTAGTGGATCAAAACACACTTCTGGTGTGGCCATGACATGGCCAGAATGGTGGCTAAGGCCATTCCTCAACATTGGACTCCTGGGTCGGTTGAGCAGCGTCCATGCTTTCACTTGCATTGGCTGATACTGTAATCACTCGGACTCATGCTCCCCCTCTTCTCACTTGCCGGTGGAGTGATCTTTTTCCTTCCATCCATAACTTGGAGCAGAGCCATAAGGTTTACTTTTCACACTTTTGTTTGTATTTGTAAAGTTCTGATGGTGTCTCTCCAGTCAGGTTTACATATCAGTAATACCTTAGCTTGTCTAATGGTAAAATGAAAAAGTATAAATACGACCTGTCATAGACTGTTTTGCAATCATTTGTTAATACACACTATTGTTTTCTGGCTGACAGAGAAGCTATTCTGTAGACAGTTCAAACCATACTAATCCATATGAATTGCAGGCGCAATCATGATGTGCAAAGTGCAGGGACTCAATGTAGTCAATAAAATTGTTTCCTTAAATAACAAATGAACTCATTTGCATTTAAATGGAGATAGATAGATAGATAGATAGATAGATAGATAGATAGATAGATAGATAGATAGATAGATAGATAGATAGATAGACTTTAGTGAAAAACACTATGATACCCAAAAGTTTAGGTCAGTTACAAATTAAAATAAATGTGCTGTTTTTCAGCTAACACAAAACACTGGCTTAACAAATGAAGATCATAAGAAACTTGACATTACTGAATAATGTTCTTCAGTTGAAGGGTAAAATGAAAAATTCTAAACAAAAAGGTTATATATAAGCACTTATAAAGGCAGGTTTCTTTTTTTTCTAGTTTTGAAAAGTCTATCTTAACATCAATGTGTCGCCATAGTAACATGTTTTCCCAGTGTGCCCCATGAACTGTGTGCTAGATAAGACAACTAAACTCAAATAAGACTGAAATGGTGATTTTTTTTTTTTTTCTTTCCTTCAGTGGAAAAAATGGAAAAAATATAAAACTAGAAAACTTCAGACTGCGAAACAATCGCTTCTGTCATTGTCAATCATGGTTTAGCATGAGCACTTTAAGAGTAAAGAAGAACATTTATGAATACATGTATATTTACTTAAAGTGATACTAAAGGTTCCAATGGTTTTTTTTTTCTTAAATAACAGACATGTCATACATACCTGCTCTGTGCAATGGTTTTGGACAGAGAAAACCTAATCCTCCTCTTCTCTGGTTTCCTGCTGGTGTTCCTGACTCCTGCCCTCCTGCTGAGTGCCCCCAGAGCAAGCTGATTGCTCTGGGGGCACTATTGAGTGGTTGCTCCTGAGCTGCCTTTGTGTGTCTATTAGACACATGGAGCATGGCTTGGATGCGCCCCTCACTGGCTCCTTCCTT